ATCTGAAGTGTTGTATTCTTATTTGATTGTTATATATTTTATAATTATTACGGATAGTATAGAAAGGCTGATGGAGAGTATATCTGTTGCCTAAGATATATTTGAGACACGATCCCAATGTAAGTCTGCGAACGAGAGTACTACGAAACACGAATCATAAAAGATAATAGTCAACGCAAAATCATTCGTCTAGAAAGAAAGAATTAGGGGCAAAATTCTAAAGATATACTTAAGTAGTATAATAAAATTGGCTAAGTCGGTGGCCTCATCACTAAGCATCGACACTACAAAGCTCTATTGTCACGATGAGGGAGCGCAGCCGCCTCGCGAAGAAAACTGTTGACATAAGTTACGCAATTTTTGCAAACAATTTCTTTACACACTGTAAATAGTTTTTTATAAGTTATTATTATTTATAGAGATATACTCCTTAGTGGTGAAGACATTTTATATGTTAAGTGTATGGTAATTTACAGTTTTAGTTTATTAAATTTTATCAATCAAGCGCACAAAAAAAAAGATTTAGAGTTATTAAGTAGCCATTGCTTCAAAGAATTACTATAATTATGTGTACCAACAAAAGCAATAATACAGTTGTAGCTTAACAATATTATGAACCACAAATAAATAATCTGCGGCGCTACGTTTCTTTCCAGTCTTCTTAGAGTATGCTCTTATCTCAGTAGAGCTGCCTTGTCACGATTACAGAATAAACACGTGCAAAAACATCGAAAAAAAAAACACCCGACGATTTGCCACACAGTGAACATTTTTCTTACTACATAAACAAGAAATAATGCCCTAGGTAAAGTTATTGACAATATTAACGCGCATTTTCTTCATGAAGGGAGGTTTGATATTAAGCAAAGTATAAGTCGTACTAACAATCATACAGTAAATAAGATAACTTGGAAAGTTTTGTTTTAAAATATTTTGAGACTAAGTAAAAACGTTTGAAAGGTTTCAAATACTGTCTATAAATATAAAATTGCTGCTTAATTCATTAAAGATTTAAACTGTAAGCGTTACACATCTCTATTGAATGCAGATTTTGTACTACGTGATGTAATAACCGATATTGTTGAATATCTATATATTTTGAGATTTGTCTAACGGTTTTAAAACAAACCTTTTCGAAGTAATATTGTTGATATTCATAGGATTTCCTTTGTCTGTATTAGTATAGCAGATGAATTCTCAACCTCAAGCTGCAAAAACTATATTTATGTATTTTGAAACTTTTCAAACGTTTTTAAAGCAAACCTTTTCCAAGTTCGACAACCAGAGTTTGAAATTGTTAGACTTACATGACTATATTTTCTTAATATTAAACCTCCCCTCATGAAGAAAATGTTGTCAATAACTTTCGTCGATTGTATAAGACATTCAGAGTTTGCAGATCATCTGATTTTCGTTTACATATCAATCTTTTAGTTGAAAAACTCGATCTGTCCAGATAGCAGTGATTATAATAAGACATGTTGTAGACAAAACGAATCATCACATTTTGTATGGATAGCAAGTTTAAGAAAGCATGCTTGAATACATTGTTATTATTCAATACATATCTTCCTACAATTCCAAAATTAATAAACTTATAGTCTGTTGACAATAATAAAATTGTGACACTCTGTCGCTAGCCGAAAGTAAAATGATCGGTTAGAATGGTACAGGGAGATGACTAAGATGTTACAGTATTCACTGTGCCTGGATACAACGCTATCGCAGTTACGACAGTGGAACGTTGCTAATGAGCGTGCTTGTCCAAATTGTCGTGTAACATTATCTGAACGGAAACCTTATTTTACATTCATGGCGGGGGGTATGCATGTCATTATATCTTCTATTCGTCAACTGGACATTTCGTGCCAGCCTTGGCGGCATACTGTCGATCAACTGCTATGTATATATAACAGTACTGATACAGAGGATACTGGAAAGACTGACCAAATATCCAAGTCGATACAAACAAAGATACACTATGGGCAGCAAATTTGACGGCAATCTCGAAAGTCTTATAGAAAACAATGAAGCCTGGGCCGACGGACAGGAGCCCGGCTTCTTTTCTGAACTAGCCACGCAACAGAAGCCAAAGATTGTTTGGTTTGGTAATAAGATAGACGTGTTGAAGAGAATGACTGATAGTTTTTGTGTGTAAATTTGTTGTCGCTAACACCATGCCCGTATTCTTGACTTGTTCAATAGGATGTTCTGATTCAAGAGTCCCAGCTGAGACAATTGTTCAACTGGGGCCAGGCGAGATATTCGTACATAGAAATATAGCCAATCTATTTCTTCACACAGACTTGAATTCTCTCTCTGTGCTCCAATATGCCGTTGAGCATTTGGGTGTTGAATATGTTATAGTTTGCGGTAAGTAAGGAGATGAAGATCAAATCAAAGATGAAAATTATCATTTTACATCTCTAAATCTCGAAATTTATTCAAAGGTCACTATGGCTGCGGAGGTGTAACAGCTTCACTCTCTACCGGCCAACACGGAATAGTAGACAACTGGCTCCGAATGATCAAAGATATTTACCGCAACAACAAACATGATGTCGATTCTCATTATACCAAGAAAGAACGTATCAACCGTTTGGTAGAATTAAATGTTGTTCGACAAGTGAATAACATAGCCTCCACTCCTATAGTCCAAGAAGCATGGGCCAACGGACGTAAACTTGAAGTGCATGGTTGGGTGTATGATTTAGAAACTGGGAGACTGAAAGATCTTGAATGCAACGTTAGTGGTGCTGCAGATATTTGTGATGAAATTTACGTTGTTGATTGTGAATGCAAACACGATCAAGAAAAAACAGATTCCGTTCTTCACAGGAATAGATAATAATAGATAGATAACATTAGATAAGTGGGGGGTTTTGGTATTAGTATAGCCCCATCTCCCCTCCCCTCGCATTGCTTGTTGTAGTGATTTGTTTATTTCATATCGCAATTAAATAATTAATTTACTGTGACAATTTGTGCTGTGTCGAATGGTTGGTTATTACAGTGCCTAAACGTACATAATCATGACCCCTTAAATTCTCCAGTGTCAGTATGATCAGTACTTTTATAGGTTGTAAATCATTTTTAAGGGGGGGCAGATACTTTAGCCTCGGACAAAAGTGGAGTTTCTGCAGTTTCTGCCTATTACTGTGGTAATTTATCGGGTGAGAAAATACCCGCCTCAACAGACAGTTCAACACCTGTTTGATAAACTAATGGAGCGAGCGTTTCTCAATTTTTTTTTGTTCTAACAAGCAAACTAACGTTTATGTCCAAACAATTCATATGGAAATTTAATATGGGCTGCTATGTTTGTAACACCACCGATAGAAACCAACCCATTATTGTTATTATTGTTATTATATTTGCTAAATAAATTTCTCGATATAACCGAGGATGGTTGATCAATGCGATTAGATTGCATATCGATATTTGTCTAAATAATATATGTCAAATTCAGACATAAATCATGTTTCGAGGGCTGAAACACATTTGTCTCTACGCTATTGCTAGCATGATAATCGTATGAACTTGTGGACGCGAATGGCGACTATACATGTATTAAATAGTTCGGTTGGTATCACTTTAAAAAATTACTTATCTGCGAGTGTAGTTTTTTTATAATTTAGAACTTTATTGCCTAACTACAGATAAACTGCTAAAGCTGGTTTTAATATATATGTAAAACATATAGAGGTACAATAAAGAGCTTGGCTATAAAGCCATGAATGAAAATTTGGGTATGATTACTGATTATGATAAAATGTTATTAATTGTTATTTTAAAATGTATATGTATATGCATTATAAAGTGTTTATATATTTGTAGAGATGGATGTATGATTATAAGGAGGGAGGAGGGTTCTAATGATGGAGTTGGTTGAAGGCCAAGGTAGGTATGGAGTAATAATTTTATATGAGAGGAGGAGGGAGAGTAAGGAAGATGAAGAATCTGAAATATCTGCGAGTGTAGTTATGACCGATAGGAAGCCAAGTACAATTGCACACGTGATGACAATCTCTTCGGATGGCTTGCTTAATTCTTCATATATTAGAGTCCATTTTGAAGATTTTTAAATTCTTATCTTATTGTACGGATAAAAATCAGATTGGCAACCATGATCGAGAGGCCATTCAAATCGTCAATGAACTATTAGAGAATTAAGAAAGCGGATTATTAGTCGGCAAGCGACCAGTTTAAGTGACAAGATGAGTTGTTGGTGGCTAGAATGGAATTTCTGGTCGTATTGATGGGTTTTTTATGAAGAGGCCAATCGCATGCGCAAAATACTTGGCGCGAGATTATAACATCACGTCTCAAAATTACCGTGAAAATAGATTCCCCCCGCTCTTTATTTTTTGCCTTATTTACAATGAGACTAAAAATTTTCGTGCGATCTTTAATATTAATGGCTTCTACTAACTTATTTCTATAATGACTTATACAGTAGTCATTTGAGGGAGTCAAAGCATTAACCACAGCACGAAACGGATCATCAGATGCATAAAGCATAACACTATACAAAGTTATACAGATCATAAAAAACGAACTATATAATAATAATTACACTTAATTAACTATTAAAATGTTCGCCTAAAAAACGCCTTAAACCCAAAAATCATATGTATGCGTGACCGCTTGACCTTCGAGAGAGTCTCTTCTTTCTCTCGTTCCCCATACACCACGCGTTTATCTTCCCCAACTAGCATTCCACCTTTACGTTCCCTTATCCTCCCACCATCCTCTGCTTTCGCGTTCTGGCGAAACTTTGCTATCAAATGACGCCAGCCTATTCTTAACATTCCGCAGATATGAAGGATCTATGAAGTAATCCTGTAACAGACCCTCCAACTCTTGGAGCCGTTCTTCTAAATGCGATACACGTTGATTGGTGGTTGTGGTAAGATGAGACGACAATACAGGAGAGACGAGGGGGATTTTGTGCGGATCGTGGATTGCTGCGGGCCTGCGCACAAGATAGTGCATGATACCCCTATAATAAAAAATGGTAATAGACGAGTGTCAACGAAAATGTAGCACGGCAATCGAGTCAACACATCTCTGGTCAAACGTTCGATATATTGACTAGTAAGTAAATGCTGTTGATTACCATGGGTTGAGTCTTGGCTGTCCGAAGAGTAGCATATATAGACCGCATATTGCCCCAAACGCACCGCCAGCCAAACCAAGGGCCGAGAGAATTGTTTTGCTCCTGATTCAGGGAAATGGATGATTAGAATATAGCTAATTGTTTACGCGCATAGTTCCAAAGTTTGCTACCTTTGTTGTTCCTGGACTTGTTGAACGTATGTATCGGCTTGAACAGAGAATATCCCGGTATTTTGGCCATCACCAAATCCCGGAGCATTTGGCTTTAATGGATAGTATTTCGTACTAGTTATTATTGTAGAAGTATTGCGATATTTCGGGGCAAAGCCTGATATTGCTCCAAAATCATGAGGTTCGATATCTCGGAAAACGTACTGTTTGAATGACATCTGTAATAGTCAAATGGAAAGGGTTTGCGTATAACAAAGTATAGAATTTTAGAAGCCTTAAAAATGTACCATGAGCAAAACGAAGAAGAATATAGCAAATTACCTGAGTACTCCATTCGGCCAGGCTGACAAAGGCATTGGTTTGAAGCCTCATGTCAACTTCGTATTTATAATTAGAGTCTTGGAGTTGCTCAGGTCTCCAGAGTGGATTAAAATCTGTATATTGGTTGTCATTATTTAATTAATATTACTGCAATCAACCGTCATGTGAACAAGATCACCGCATTACCTGGATTGAACGCTTGCAATGCGAGGACAGGAATTGTTATCGAACTATTGAGGGCTGCTGTGAGATTCAATATCTGGTAGTAAATGTCAATTCGATATAATTCCGTTGCACTGAATTTGTACGTTTTATTGGTTGAGAAGAGGTAGCAAGGTCGGGTGGGATCCGAAAAGTTTGTCAAGTAGATGAATTTTTCTCCTGTTGGACGTGTACAGTTGTCAAATCTGGGGGGAGGGGGTGATTACAGTTATTATTAATACCAATGATCAAGAATAGTTACATTTTTATCAACGCATACTTACGCTTCAGTATTAACTGCTTTCCAGCCATTGAACGTACATTTTGTTATAAGCAGAGCACTAGTTGGAGCACAAATTTCGATTTCTTGACAGCAAGACAGGTCGAGGAGGGTAGTTGTTAGATTTGCTCATTCTATTAATATCATCGTAATGCCAGTCGTCTCTTTCGCTCACCTGGCACTTGCAACGAGTCTAGTTTCTCTAAAGACAGCCTCAGAACAGGCGTATCCTTAACGATAGCCCAAGCCAAATAAGACAAGTAGCACAGATAAGCGGTCACTATAAAGAGTCCTACTGCAATACGTGACCATTGCAAACATTTTGGTTCTGGATACTAGAGATAAACGACATTTATCAATACATTTTTTAGCTAGCGGAAATTTCCTCTTATCGATTAGATACTAACGTTCTTTTTGGGGGGGTCAAACATAAACAACATCTCGTCAGATTGGCAGCAGCTGTGAGATAAAAAATTGTTGATCTGCGCACTTGGCTTATATTTATCAATGATGGGGCTGGGCTGATGACAAAAAACAAGCCTTGCCTCACAATGAACATAAAGATAGAGCTAGACATTTTAAGTTAGAGGGACAATAATTGGAAGGTGATCCCTAATCTAAATTAAAATTATTGTGCTGGAATCTAATTTATAGCTGATAGCAGATGTTGATAGTATAGGTATCAGTGCTTACATGGGGACTGCGCTGCCTCGATTGCCAAGCCCAATAAAGTATAAACTTCATTCATATTCTGCTTAAACAGTTGCTAGCAGAAAATTGGCCCGTTTCCACAATAGTACATCGAAGGATAGGCGTAATCCATACGTATACAAAATGCTCGGGGGTTTCGGCGCACTAACAAATAACTTTAAGACTAAATACAGAAATTCCTTAATATTCTTGTTATTATTTACGTCACCTTTTATAGGGGGTGAAGCTGACCTTTATTATTATTATAATTGCTCTGTTAATAAATTGTAGCGGGTTTACTGTTAAAAGAAGACGCTTTCACTAATTCGGTTTATGCAACAGACTGCTCACTGCGGACCCTTTTTGCACTTGGCGTTTTGGATAGGAGCATCTGATGATAATAGCCACACCCTAATAGTCTGCTTCCCTCTTTATTAACGCAGTAACGAGGTTTCACTGTTAGCATTTATACCAGAGTAATTCAATTGGGCGTTATTTCAGCTTCATAGCGACCAATCGTACCGACGTGTGGCTTATGTCAAGCATTGTGACAAATGGGATTGTTGTACATCACGCTTTGACATTAGATTTAGTTCTTTGATTGTATTGGTCACGCATAAGCGTACAGCATATCCATGTTTGTTTGTAAGTGTTCACTTGTTAACTTGTTGCGTGCATATATTAACTTACTAATACTAATACGGTTGGTACCTGGTGTCGCGACATACAGTGAGCAATGATGTAATAAAATGGTTTGAGAAAAGAAGTATCTATAGATATTGTGAAAACGTTGAAGATGGATATATTAACTGTGAATGCAAAGAGACATCACAAGATTACAAAGTAACATCGTTGAGAATATGATAATTGACCGCTGTTCGCTCATAATAAGTAATAAGCGATTAAGTAATTATATATTAGTGAGTATTTTTTGTTGCTATACTTATTTTGATCATTGTAGGCAGTAAATATAGACGGGTGCAAGAATAATTATCCTACTTTTGAATTTGTGTTATTCGTAATGCTTTACGGACAACGCATAAAACGCTTAAGAGATTTACGTAAAGTTATAATAAACAAGCCATTTTTTTGTTTCAGTTTACAAACGGTATTCTCAACCCTGCTTAAACCGTGAGATTAGTGCAGATGCTCTGATAAATAGCCCCGTAAAGGAATAACAAAAGTACGTGTATACTTTTGAGGAAGCGAGTAATAAAAGTAATAAACGCGTTGAGAAAAAAAAAGGGGGGGGAGTGTGAATAAATACCGCTTTTTGCGACAAGAGTTTTAGACGACTAAGAGCAGCATAAACACAGGGTTAAATTAATATTGTTGAAGGTTATTACTCACTCAACCTTTTATAGGTGACGACAACAATGGTGCATCGATGTGGTCAGAAGCGGACAAGACGGTTATTTGCTAAGTATTGTTTACCTGCAATATAAATCTGTTTACATTTATTAATGAAGACACTTGTTCTAAGGATTAGCGTGGTGAGTAACGTTGTAAGTAACGTTGCAAGTATTTATTATCATCATGTATGCGAGTATTCCACGAGCGATAGCGGATACGTATATTTGCACGTGCCTGCGTACGGGAATATTATTTACGCCATGCGGCGAGTTGTTTCCCATGCGACGAGTTGTTTCCCATGCGGCGAGTTTTGTTCAAACATAGCAATTTAAATTACAATTTAGTTAGATGCAAATTGATGTTGTCATTATTATTATAGCGTATGGGGCAGACTGCAACAAAACCAGACAAAGTGAACATTCTGAAATAAGAGGCTGGTGTGGCTGAAAGTTAACTAA